AAAGGGTATAAAGTCTTTTGGCCCTCCCCTCAATGCCCCCACTGCTTTTAAACCAAAACAATGGCAAGAAATACCAAGTGGCCCAGTAGGTGCGTCGCTGGACTCCCACGTAGCCGACCGAGGTTCAAGCCTCAGACTTGGTAGCTTGAAAATTACGCTGGATGCATGTGTATACGTGCCCAATATCCCAGGAGAAGATGGAGAGGGGATGCAGCCTGGCCCCAGTGTGAGTGTGTGTGTGTGTGTGTGTGTGTGTGTGTGTGACTTCTCACTTTTCCTCTCACTGTCTGTCTGCCTATTTCTCTTTCTCTTCAGCAAGCACACGCACCCTATGGCAAAAACCTCTTCTACAAGATAAATAAATAAGACGCCAGGGCTCTGCTGAGTGATCATTTACAGCCTACGGAAAAGTCGCCCGACACCAACTGCTTGTCTCCTCCTCCCCGAGTCTGAACGAACGTGTAGTTTTGGAGTTTAATGGTGGGACAGAAAGACACCTGGCTGGGACCTCTCCACAGAACCCAGAGCCCCTCTTCAAAGGTCAGGGTGTCAATGAAAGTGAAAGCCACAAGGAAGGGCTCGAGGCGGCCCTCTGCAGACACCTCCAGCACCTCCACCGGGCCCAGCTCTGTGCTGCCAGGTCTCATGTACTTAGCATGCAGTCCTTACAGGTAGCATTTTGGGAGAAGTGTTTTAATTCTCCCGGTCCAGAGATGAAACGTTCACCCTAAAGCTGTCATCATCGAGGTCCGGGATGGGGCTGGCTCCACAGTCAGGGCCGTGCAGTCCCACGTGCCTCCTGCTCAGACTCAGTTACAGCAACTTTCCCGTCTACAGGACAAGGCCGCTCCTGCACACTCCATGGCGGCACTTCATCCAAATGGAAAACAGTTTTTTATTTTTTTTACAGAAAAGAGGATTACAATAATAAAAAAGAAAAGTCACAAGACTTTCTCTGTTCCATTTCAGAATTCCTTTGTCCACATCTTGAAACTGGAAAGCAATGGGCAGAGCCGTGGCATTGGGTGGTCAGAGGGGGCTGGGAGGAGGTGCCGAGAGCAAGGAGCGTGGCTGGGAGGAGACGGCATAGACCAGACCCGGAAGTTCTGTACACAGTGTCGGTTCCGAGAAGCCTGGTCGCACGGCCGGCTCGGCGCCACAGCAGCCGGATCGTGGCCATGACGGCGGCTCAGATCCCAGACCTGGCAAGCCTCAAACAGGCTGGACACAGGAACAAGTGCCCAAGACCCAACAAGCTAAGACCCTGCAGGAAGGGGACCTGCAGAGATTACTCCTACCTCTTCCTCTCATGTGCTGTGCCCAAAGGAAAACTGGTACCAGCAGATGGTGCAACAGTTACGTCGCTAGACTCCCATGTAGTCGACCACAGTTCAAGTCCTGAACCCAGTGGCTTAAACTCACGCCGGGTATATGTGTGTACGTGCCCAAAATCCCGAGAGGAGAATGAAGAAGGGACTACAGTGTGGCCATTCCGGGGGTGGGGTGGGGGGGTAGTGGTGCGTGTGTGTGATTTCTCGCTTTCTGTCTCTCTGGCAAACACACACACCCTATAGCAAAAATCTCTCTCAAAATAAAAAAAAACCCCCCCAAAAAAAAAAAAAAAAAAAAAAAAAAAAGAAGAAGAAGAAGAAGAAAAGAGAAAAGAGAAAAATTAAAAAGAGAATCTGGTCACTACCTATGGCAAAAGGAGCCAGATCCTATGCTGAGGACGAATGATGGGAAAAACCACCCAAGCACCGTCCTGCCACGGCATGCTCGGTCACGAACACTCTGGTTTCAGCCACTGTTCACTGGGTTTTCTGCACTCGTAGCCAAACACCGAGACCACAACACAAAGGCTGGCATGAGCCCGGCGAGTGCACACGTGATGAGACTTCGCGTCTGTCCTGGAGTTTTGCTCTTTGGCTCTCGCCCCTTTGATGCTAGGCTAGAGTGGGCAAAGGCACGCGCACACGGCTTACAGAGAGTCAGAGGGCGGACTCGCACTTCCCAAAGTGCAAAGACATTTTCCCAGATGCGAGATTACAATGGTGGACAGCTCACAGGCATATTTTGCTTGAGTCAAACAAAATTTCTTTCTCTTTTTTTTTTGGGGGGGGTGGGAGGTGGGGGAGAGGTTTTTGCTATAGGGTGCATGTGTTCAACAGAAAGACAGAGACAGATAGTGAGAAATCATCCCCAGGAGGATGGCCATGCCGCAGTCCCTCCTCCTCCATTCTCCTCTCGGGATCTTGGGCACACACACAACGCCTGGAATGAGTTTAAGCTACCGGGTCTGGGACTCGAACCGCGGTAGGCTACGTGGGAGTCCAGCAACACAGTCATTATGCCAACTGATGATCCCACAAGCGAGA